TTTATTCCTTCACTCATTTTTCCGCTTACGACACAAAGCAATAATGCACCATCTTTGTTATTAGAAGAATGAATGTGTAAATCATATTGTTTTAAAACCTTTTCGACCAATTGTGTTTCGCGTGGTTCTTGAAAAACCTGAAATGAAAGTCGGATACTTAAAAGTTCTTAGCAAAATTTGACATATTGAAAACTATACCATTTTGCGTTTTTTTATCCTTTCCAAAACTCCATTTTGTTTCCATCGATCATGTACTTGCTTCAAATAAGTATAAGATGCAAAAAACATACAACACCGTCAGGTATTACGTTACAAAGATTTATAATAGTTTGACCCAATTCATCAATCTAGAACGATTTAAATATAATTTGCCGTTTAAACAATTAATATATCAAATACTCGAGTTCTAAATAATCTTACCAGTTTAATATTATCATGACGCTCAAATGTAAATTCAAAAGTTCCTCCAATAGGACCTTCTGATAGCGTTAAAGTCAATAAATTTTCAGGTGGTACGATATGTCCACACGAAAATTTACTTGATTTTAGTGTTGGAAGATACGGAAATAATTGTTCTATTAAATCATCGATCTTTAATTAAATAAATAAAATAAATAAATAAATATATAAGACGAAACAGTTATAACAAATAGCTAAAATTCGGTACAAACAGGTTCCATGGTACCACCAGCCAAAATCACCCTTCTAACTTCTTCTACTATGTCCTCAAATTGACTTGAAGGATTTAACAATAAATATTTGATATAAGGTATATATTTTATTGTCATTTCTCGTTTCCCTTCAATTGGATCAATTATTTGTTGGAACCCAAGAATGACGCGTCCATCTTGATTGCCATTCGTTAATGACATAAGGAACGCTTCAATTTGGCTTAATTATGGAAGAGTTGACAGATTCCTATCATCTATAATGTTCAAATATATAAGATTTGATTTTACATTGAATAAAATTCAGATTTAATAATTACTTTTTGTTTGCTGCATTTGATGAATTTCAACACTAGTTCTTGATTCGATTTTATCAACAAATCCATTTAACTATAAATGTAATAAAGAATTAAAATTCAAAGTTCAAACAAACGATCTCATCGAAACCATTAAAATTCACCTTTCTAGCTACTTGACTTTTTTTCAAATAATTTTCAATTTTAAACAAATTTAAATCACCAATCTTCAATATATGTAAAAAATCATTTACAGTTTTAATATAATTCATTCTTTCCTTATCTTTTCCTTTTTCCTCACATTTTTTTTCAAATGCTGTTAAACATCTTATTAAAGCATCCAACAATGATAAAATTTGTTGAATATACATCACATTCTTTCCTAGTAATCGTTTTTTATAACGATCGAGATACGCATTTAATTGTGAGCGTACGTTCACTATTTGTGGTAAATCAATTATAATTGTGTGAACAGAAGTTACTGTATCAACGAGGTTATGAACCTCGTCGATAATAACAATATTATCTTTAAGTAAAATTTTCATTGATTCTCGTGACGACTTTTGAAGCAATAGACTGTAAGGAAGTGTTACAATCTGTAATTTTTTAATATAATTAATTAAAGAGTAATAAAAGAATATTACTAAAAAATGACGCTATTACCTGACACCGTCTAATACTTTTTCGAGTACCATAATAAGGACATGCGCCCAGTTCACGGCCTATATCAGCCAATTCTTCAATATCGCGTACCGAAGCCTATATTAATTCCAAAATATAATAAGTTTAGTTAAATAAATATAAGATCAAGCTTTGTACCTAATTAGTACAATATATTTAATTTTTGTAATATTTGACCGTGACAAAATCATTTTTTATTTTATCAATACCTGCTTTCTGCATATCCAAACACTTTTCATTAATTCTATTCATACTTTTCAATTTACTAACTTCGTCATTAATACATAAATTTTTCCTTGAACCCAAAGAAACACATTTTACATCTTCCGCATATACAGTTTTACGAAGTTCATTAACGAACTGTGTTAATTGTGAGTGTGTTCTAGAGCAATAAAATATCTACGTGTATAAGAATCACGTAATTAGTAATTTCATGGTTGAAAATATGAAAATATTTAAAATTTTTTACTTTTATTTCGTCAGGTTCTTCCTCATCTTGTTTTCGAGTTTCTTTATCATTATCAAAATTTTCAAGGCTTTTTGCCTTCTTGAAATCTGAATAAATATCCCGTAAGTCGATTTACATAAGAAAAATGAAACAATAATTTGACAGACCTTTTCAAAAGTTCTTTCACTTGCAAGGAAATGTTATCATTTTCTTCGTGATTCTCAGTTTCATCATCACTATGGTATTCTTCCACCAAATACTCTTCCATATCATAATCTTTTCTATTTTAACCTCCGACAATTAAATAATTAATAAAATAATATTATAAAGTGACACGATACTATTTATTATGCATACCAATCTCTTTCGAAAAATGTTACCGTCGACTGTTTGACAACTGGCCTTTTGTCTTTCCAATTTCTCCTTTTCTCTGATCTTTTGAATTCTTTCATTTAATTCTTGTTTTCTTGCTAATTCTTCTTTGCATTTTTATTTTTACTATATTCTACAACCCATGATGGTTCTATCAAATAAGGAATAATTAAAATAAACGCGTCAAAATAATTTAAGCAGACTTTTTCAATAAAGAAAAAGACAATTTTATACCATTAGTTTCCATCCTTGTATTACTCGAATATTCTACTATCTCATATCGTTCTTCATTATCTTTAAGCCATTTTAAAAGCACCACATATTAAAATTAAAGATTTTCCCTGATGATAATACATTAATTATCAAAGTAAAAAAATATTTTGTTAATAAAGAACGTACAGTTCCAGTTGGACTTTCGAATATGCCGACTTTTCCTCTTTCGATAACTTGATACAAGTTTTTCATAAATTCAAATTGAATATCATAAGGTTGAAAAGGAAAATTATACGAAGCTATATCTGATGGTG